TTTGTATTTCAAGTTACAACACTCAATTTAACGATGAAGAATATCAAAATGATGACTATTGTGACAATCCTACTTTTCATTACTCGATGACCAATGCAAACATCAATGATCATCTTATCTTGGCAAACAATTATGCATATAGATTACCATATAATAAAACAAAACATACATTCAAAATGTCTTTTAACAATTTCTCATTGCATTGTTGCTGCAACATATTCCCAACAATTTCCATAAACATCTACTAAGTAGAAATTCTTCCATCACTCTATTAGATCTTGAAGGAAATAAATCTTGGACCATCCAATACTATGCTAGAAACAAATCATTCTTAAGAGGATGAAAAAATTTTATCACTGATAATCACTTGAAGATCGACAATTATTGTTTATTGCTAGATAGCACACAATACTTTTAAAGTAGTAATCTATCTTGACTATGAATAGATTGCTCAATTGTACCTAAATAACTCTTTTTAAGATCTTTGTAACTTTTAAATAGACATCAAATATTTTCTATTTAGTTTTATACTAACCATCTATTATTAAGTTTATAGTAAATTATTTTAGATAAATAAAATACTAAAAATTAATTTAACATATAGGGTGAAGCCAGGTTCACTCACTAGTACACTATAAAAGTATTTGTATCAAATTTCTAATTAATTACAAATATATCATAGGAGTATTAGTTTAGAAAAAGCTTACGAAAGATGTCAAATTAGCAAATCAAATAATTAGGTCTTAGGAAATTAATCTAAAAGAAATGATGAGACAAAATATTACAAATCTCTTTCTTTTTTTTTAGGAAAAGTTGTCTCTTAAATATATCAAGAATACCTATTTTATGACAACCTATTGTAGGTAGGCTCAATCCTATCCCACCTTAATGAGATAATCTTATTGTTATATATTAGGCTTTTTTCTAACCACATAGTTTTTGTACATATTAATTAATTTGTCAATTGTCTGACTAGATTCCTTATATTTTTTTTTTCAAAAGAAAATTTGAATTAAAAATATTTAAAAAAAAAGTGAAAGATCAATTTTTTTTAAAATGTATTTCAAAGTCTTTAGGAAAAAGTTGAAATATCAATTTTTTATAAAATGAAACAAAATTTTGAATCTTCTAATAATAAAATCATTAAAAATTGTAACAGCAATTTCTATGCAAATTTCTAGATGAAGAATTTTTCTAAATTGTGCCAAATATTATATTATTTAGAAAACATTTCAATATTAAAGATTCTAATTAAAAATTGAATTTTTGTAAATAAAAATTTGTTTAAAATTTTAATGAATCTGAAAACAAAGCCTTTTCAAAAGAAATAATAGTTTTCTAGAATACCCATGAGTTAAAGAAATATTCTTTAATTTTTGTCAATATATTGGAGTAATATAAGGAAAATTTTCCAATATCTAAATTACTTGACAGTTTTTTACAAGTCATTTTTAAGGTCTTGGATAACATAGAATTAACTCATTTCATCCTTTAGATAAGTGTTGTGGGGATATTAATATCTTCCTCATATGTAATTATATCCTCAAACTGAACTTAGTTTCGCAAACCAAAATTTACATTTTAAGGAACTTGAGTTAAGTATTTAACCCTAAAATGGTTTATAATTTAAAGTACTTATCTTCATACACAAATGATGAACTTTACTCATTAAAACTCAAGATCAACGTGCAATTAAGCGTTGAGTTAAGATTCTATCATGTTTGACTTATTTTATAAACTTGAATCTCATCCTTATAGAAGTTTTAGACACCAAAATCTCTTATGAGAATTTTTGTCAATGCATCAGCCAAATTTTCACTTGACAAAATCAATAGTGATACCCCTTATTTTATAAGTTATCTAACATAGCTATGTCTTCAACTTATGTGTCTTGACTTCCTATTATACACTTGACTATAAGCCATTGCAAGTGTAGCTTGACCATCATATTGGATAGATATTGAGGACATTGGTTTAGGCCATACAAAAATTTCTAATAGTAGATTCCTTAGCCATTCCACTTTCTTGCAAGAAGAAGCTAATGTCACAAATTTAGATGTCATAGTAGAATTAATTGTACAAGTTTGTTTCTTAGAATCCTAAGAAACTGCAACCCCACCAATCACAAAAATCCATTCACTTGTAAATGTGTGATCTTCCATATTGGTTATCAAACTTGAATTAGTGAATCCTTCTAAAATTGAAGGTTCACCACAATAATAAATGCTAGAATCCTTAGTCTTATATATATATATATATATATATATATATATATAAAGGATCAACTTACATAATGTAAAACTGAAAAAAATTTACATATTTTTTTATTATTGATTTCAATAGATCTAAGAAATGAGAATAACAAGTAAAAAAAAAATGATTTAATCTCATATCTTGAATATATTAAAATCAAAATTAAAAAAATGTGTAAAATGTTTTTAGTTTTACAACTTATATACTATATAGGTTGATCTTTCCACACACGCACACACACACACACACATATATATATATATATATAAGATTTAAGAGAACTTTTGAGAAGCCCAATTAGGCATAGGATAGTAAAAGTGACAGTTGGAGTGTTTGTATTGGTGTGTTTTTCATATTAAATTGTAAATTTATATTTGATTTACTATTAATGTATAATCCTATACACTATCAATGCATCATAAGTTATAACCTCATCAATTTGTTTTAACATAATTAAATATTTAATACTTATTATTGATGTTTTTAAAATTTTAAATTTATTAATTAATGATGGATAATTTATGAGGCACTGATAGTATATAACATATATATACTAATAATATATCAAATATAATTCCTTTAAATATTTTTCATTTGGTACATTTGACTTTGAATAATCTCATATTCAAATAATTTTGAGTTTAGACTATTTTAAATTATAATTACTTTGAGTGCGAATTATTACAGCTTTGAGTTCAAATTATTACATATTTGTAACATCTTTAATTCGAACCATTTTATATTCATGTTGTTTTAAGTTTATTTTAGACCGATTTTTTTCGATTTCAATTAGTCTTAGATTAATTATAGTTTAGATATTTTCATGTTAAAATATGAGTTTTTATGAATTTTGGATTTAATCGGTCTTAGATTTATGTTGTTATAGTTTTGAAATACTTTTTATTTGAATCATTTTAAATTGTTTCAAATTTAAATAGATTTTGATTCAAATTAGTTTAAATTTGTGTCTTTAATTTTTTTTTCCATTTAATTCGGATGAGATTAAATTCTATCTCGTTTTAATATTGTTGGAATTCAATCAAAATTTGCAATATCTGTTGGGCGCAGGGGCCCTCCCTATAAGCCTTCCCTAGATTCCCCCTTGCATATACCCATCAATTAGTTTTCTAAACTTTCGAACACCGACAGTATATATTCATATCAACCTAAAGTCTACTTCACAAAATAGTATTTCCTATATTATTGGCCAAACAGACAAAAAAAGTCTATTTCACGTCTTATATTATTATAATCAAATAAACCTACCATAGATGTGATTGAGCCAACACCAAAGTCCTTATCACAAACGTAATTATCTAAATTTCTCAGCTAATAAATTAAGAATGAAAAGAACAGCGATTGCTTGCCCTACCAATTACAAATATTTTTGTATATTTTTTAGCCATACAATCAAAGCCTTAAACAGTGTAAATGAATAAAATTTTTTATGAATCATTTGAAAATATATTCAGTTTTGTTTATTTATATTTATTTATTAAGTTTAATAAATGATTTTTAATAATATTTTTATATTTATTTATTAAACAATTTGAATATAAATGGAAATATGTTTGGTTTGTTTATATTCACAAACAAAATCGATTAATGTTCGTTTAAAATTTATTCATTTAGAATTCATTATGTTTGCTTATTATTTGTTTATTCTTAAATTTATGATTGTATGTTTATTTATTTAAATTTATTTGATTATAATTTATTTATTATTCATAAATATATTTATTTATTATTCACACCTATATTTGTTTATATATATATATTCATGAATATATTTTTTTAATGTTCATGAACGAATTTATTTAATTTAAATGAGTCAAATACAAATTAGACATGAATATCATACTATTAAATATATATATATATATATTCATGAATATATTTTTTTAATGTTCATAAATGAATTTATTTAATTTAAATGAGTCAAATACAAATTAAACATGAACATTTTATTATTAAACAAACGAAACTCAAACATAATAAATAATTTTTTTATCAAACACAAACAACTTTAAAAAGAAATAAATAAATTATAAATATACGTTCATTTACTCATATTCGATTTGATTATAACTCTCTTGCTATTATGGGGTGTATCGTAATCTCTCCTCTCTTTCTCTTTCTCTTTCTCTTTTTCTCTTTTTTTTTCTCTTTAAAAAAAATAATAATTATTGTGGGGTTTCTTTTTTCCAGCTTGAGTTATTTTATTCTTGATAAGATAAGATGTTGTGTGACACCACTAGTGGGAAGTTGGGAATAATTCAAATAAATTATGTGGGATGGGCATTATTAATTTAATCTCATTTGGTTAATAAATAAATCAAGCATTTTTCTGTACATAAATTAAAATAATAATAAAAAAAACTTATGTATGAAAGCAATTGCATCGGACTATCACTTAAAATTCCACGCCAAATAATGCGATTTATTATTAGATCAGATCAATTAATATGAATTATATTTAAAAGATTATTTTATTACTTAGAAAACTTAACTTTTCTGGTTTTTTTATTTGAAGTTGTGAGTAGTGAATAATTAAAATTCATCATTACTGAAATTTAACTATAGTTTTGTTTGGATGGTTGATAAGAAAATATTTTTATTATATCATCATGTCCGTTTAGAACTGAATTTTTTTAACCGGTTATACAAATAAAACCTAAAAATTTCAATATTTACTAAAAGAGCATTCGATTATTGATAAAATTTTCAATTTGAACGTAACCCATGGGTTTGCAATTGAAATTGAAAAAGCATGCTTTATTATTTATTTATGGGATAATCCCTTTTTGATACACATTTAATATTATCCACATGACTTACAAGATTATGATGTTATGTACATAATGGGGCCTTAAGTCCGAACCCAACATCCTTTTGGTACACATTTGAATTGATCTAGCTCCAACAGATGTTGTTGCCCCAGAGCAGCTTCCAATTGGCTCCTGCTTCTGCTGATCCTCGCATCACCACCGTCCGTTCCATTGACCCAGATTTCTGGTATTACTTCTGCTAAGTTGTTGACCGCCTCTATTGCATAATCAGCTTCCTTTGTCTTAACACTCTTTCCGACCTTCAAATCCAAAAATATTTACATTAATTAATTTTTTTTAATTTTCAAATTAATTTTTATTCAATTATAACACTTTTATTTAAATTAATTTCAAATAAAAAAATACCAGACAAGTACGAAGGCCCAAAGCCTTTCCTGCGGCAATATTCCAAACATTGTCGTCGAAAAACAACTGCAACAAACAAAAAATAATAAAACAATTTAGTTTCACCATCAAAATGATAAAATAGAAAAAAGAGATAAATTAATAAGAATAAAAAAAAAAATTACCGTGAGACGAGGATCAACATGGGAGACATCGAGAGCAATTTTCACGGCATCTATAGACGGTTTCAAAACGACAGGGAATTCATCAGGACGCGTTGATTTTGGCAAATTAGGATTCAGTGTCTCAAAACAAATGATTTGGTCGAAACAATCTTCTAATCCTAGTCTTTTCAGAATCTTAATCGCATGAACCCTGTCCGAATTCGTAAAAATCTGCAAAAAAAAAAAAAAAAAAATTGAAGCTGCAAATAACAATTTGATTTATTTTAATGATTTTTAGTTTTGCTTGTAACTTACGATTTTCCTTTGGCTGATGCTACGCAAGAGATTACGTAGCTGAGGATCTGTCTTGATCACATCGTATGGCAATCTTCCGTGGACGAAACTACCAATTGAAAAAAAAAAATAATAATAATAAAGGAAAAGTCAAATTTTAATTAATTCTAAACATTACCAAAATCAAGCTGAAGACGAAAATTACATATTTTCTTTTTTTAATAGATTAAATTTTCAAAAGATTGTGCAATAAATTCTTTCTTACCCGTGATAATCATCGGCATCGATGTCGTAGCCTAACGCCTGCAACAACGATTTAAAGGAATTTAAAATTATACCAAATTTTAAGCGTTAAATTGGAATTGTATATTAGAGAAATTTTAATTAGATATAATTACTCGCAAACCGGCGAGAGTGCTGCCGTAAGTTTTGAAGAGTTCGACTCTGAGACTAGAAGCTTTGGTCGCCGGAAATCCACATTTCTCAATTAGAAAATCTGGAGAAATATAGTAAAAAAACGAAAATAACGATCAATTTCTGCATGAAAGAAGAAAAAAAGAAGTCATAAAATTTGATGAATTTTACGAAATGTGACGAACCATCGATGTTTTTCTTGACAGCTTGAGCAATTCCAGTGTTGGAAAGGTAAAGCGTATCATCCAAATCTGTTTTGAACCCAAGTCCAAGGCCGAAAAATCAGAAAAAAACTTAAGAAAATATTGTTGATTGAAGCAAGAAAGAAACTTACCAAACAAGAGGCAATTGAAAGGAGAATCCATATTATAGCTTCAAAAAATGAAGTAAAAGGAGTTGGAGAAAATTGATGCTTTAAAAAGGTGAAGCAAAAACCAGAGTTTCGAGGGAGGGGGCTTCGCTGGGAGAAGGAATTTATAGAGAAAATGAAAGCTTTGATAAATAGTAATAATAATAATAAGATAATGGGAGAGAGGAAGTTGCTAACCTGGAGCTCAAATCTTATTACAACAAATTTCCGAACCGAGTAGATGCATGGACCCACACGGTGTTCCCTTCAAAACCGAGGGATTTTTAATGTCTTCTAAATAGACGAAATTGCCACTAAGGCCAGGACAATACTTTTTTCTTTTATTTTTTTGCTTAAATATTAAAAAAACCCTTAAACTATGTAGTTTTTCATTTAAACCTCTATTTTTTTTTACTACGAAGGAGCCCATAGCATGGAATAGAAAAAGTGATTGCAATTATTAGAAATTACACTTTAGACCTAATTATGTTATTTTTTAAGAATGTTTATATAAATTAATTAATTTAAATTCTAAATTCATAAGTCATTATATTTTTATTATATTTAAATAAAATTTTATTTTTTAATTTATATTTAAATAAATTTATATTTCAAATGAAATATTTAATTATGAACAAATTAAATATTAAGGATTTATTTGATACAAATTAAAAGGATTTATTTAGGTGCAAATTAAGTATTAAAATTTATTTAAATAAAATGATAAAATTCATTGATTTTTTATTATTATAAATTTTTTATTTTTAGATACATTTAGTTTATATTTAATTTTTTTGAACGATTTTAAATTTATATTTTTTGTATTTGTGTGAATAAAATTTTTACTCTTGAAGTATTTTTACAAATATTAAATCTTAATTGACAAAATTTTGTTATCAACTAAACTAAGGCCTAGTTTAATATTATTGTTGAAAATAAATTTTGTATTCAAAAGTACTTTTAACCAAACTTCAATGCTAAACAACAAAAAAAATAACTTTTCAGTATAAAAATTTGATTTGAAAATCCAAATCAAAAGACTTTTCAAAAGATACTTTTACGGTGAAAAATACTATTGATGTAAAAAATTTACTATATCATTCCTATATTCTAATACTTTATTATTTTATTCATATTTTTTAGACGCTTTAACCCCTTATAACATTTTTTGACAGTAATATCAAACTTTAAAAAATTTTAACCACATTTTTAATGTTATTGTTTAAACATATTTTTTTCCTTTTTTAACCACATCAACAATTCTAAACTATCCTAACTTGATGCAAATATTGTAATACTTTTTAAAAATAAAATCTTCACTTATCAAAAGAAGAAAAAAAATTTCGGTAATGGGAAGGCACTTGCGTAGCCAATTACATTACGGAAAAAAACAGGGCGCTGATGATGGACCAATAAAAAAATTCAGTTTAGGTTGTTTTAGTAATTTCATTTTGGGTCGGTGTGTGTTTTTTTTACATGAATGTTAGGCTTGGTATTGAAAACGTGCGTTGAAGTTCCCTGGAAAAGCTTAAGCCTTAATGAGACTTTTGGCATGTGAAAGTGAAAACTTTTCTTAGAAGTAAGTTTCAAAGAATTGCCAATGAAGGAATTAGCTTAGAAAATTATTACATACTCGTTAGTGATTTTTTTTGCAGTTTAATTATATGTTTGAGGGTTAGTGTTTAGTGTATTATTAATGTAATTTTTTAATCTTACAAGTAAAATTAAAAGATTAACATATATCTTAATTTTTTATTTTTTAAAATATATTTTAAAGAGTATTCGTCATCTTACTAATTCCATCTGAAAAATTTTAAAATGACTAACTTATGAGATTTCATATGTCAAATTTAAAATTAAAATACTCATTTCGTCTTATTCTTTTTTTTTATTAATTTTTTAATCAAACAAATTCAATTTTTATCATTATTTTTAATAAAACATAAATTTTTTTTTTAAAAAAATCTATAAATTTTTAATTTCAAAATTTTTTTAAAAAATATATTTTAACATGTTAATTCATTGTGATATTTTATAAAATAAAGGTCAAAGTTGAATTTTTTTACAAAAAAGAAAAATAGAAACAAAAAAAATGACATAAAGAAAGTAAAAAAGAAAGATGTTTTAAAGAAGATTTAGAATTTTGGGCAAAAATTGTTATTTGAACCAAAATACCCTTAGGAGGGATCAAATTAAAATTTGGTTAAAATCGATCAAAATAGATCAAAGTATAATGATTAAAGAGAAAATCCATGAAAAACCAAACTTTAAGTAAAATGACCAAAATGCATTTGGATCAACTTTTGATCAACCATGGTCAAATCTAGGTCAACTTTTGGGAATCATGAACGATTGGAACTATTAAGGCCTAGAATTAATAAAATAAGATTTTAGATCTCAAAAATCGAAGTTTGACTTCAAAAATCCAAAAATAAGCTTTAAGGGAGCTCTCATAAATTTGGTCAAATCAAGATAAGATTTTGAGTGCAGATACAAATTTAGGTTTAAAGACCTTCATTATTATTATTCAGCATAGTAAGTCAAGGGATTGAAAGTGAAACAAAAACCCGAAAGAAAACACGAAAAGGATGAATTTTATTTGGAAGGGAAAAATAGTGTTTTTACATTATGTGGCTTAATAGTTACACAAGCAACAAAATTATGTGTTGTAATCTCATGCAGCTCTTGGATTTGAAGGCACAATGATGCTACGGTGTGCATTGATATGCTTGGACACCAAGTTTAGTAAAAAAGACAAAAAAAAAATTGCTTCCCTTTAGATGAGGTTTAATCCAATGGCCATCATGGTAGAAAATGTCTTCAAATAGACATTTTTAGGGTTGCGATGAGGGATTGGCAGCAAGAAAAGTGGTGGCAATTACTAAATGTAGGAGAAAAAATTTAAAAAATTGGGAAAAGCTTTGAAAGGTAGCCTTTTTCTCTTTTCATGCATCCTCACATCTAAGTTTCATCTTCATGGATGTAGTTTTTTCCTATCTTGATGTTTTGAAGGAGAGTTACCTTTTCCAATGGTTGTTCTCTTTTACTTTCTCTCTTAATTCCTTATTTCATCCTACCAAACTAATAGTATGGTTTTGAAATGAAAAGGGAATAAAAAAGACCATGAAACCCTAGTGAGAAGCTTTCAACCTAGATGTTCCATGTTTAGATTGAATCTTCCCTTCCATTCTTCCATGCTTTCCTTGCTTTATTATATGTATTATAGTATGCTAGAAATGTTAGGGGTACCATTTTATATGTTTTCCAACTTTTTTAGTTCTTCATGTTCATGTGTTTTAATGATGGAATTTTTTAGCATTTTCATTTTGGAAATTCTCTATGTGTTTGATAAAAATATTTTGACAATAAAAATAGTTTTTTAAAAATGTTTTCTAAGTGTTTCATGAATTTTTTAGTAAAACCGCCAAAATGGGTTATATCAAAATATACTAAGAAGCTTTTAGCTTAGCCCTCCCCATGGCATGACTGAGACTTCTTTTTTTCCTTTATGGTTACATTGTGATATTACAAGATCCTTCTTGCTTTGGTTTTGGGTAAAATTCAATGTTTTATAAGTGTTTGATAAAAATTTTCTAAATAAAAAATAGTTTTAATTTTTTTTTATGAAACAACAATGAGGTCTTTTATCATGTTTTTTATGTGTTTGTAATAAATCTTAGCAATAGATAAATGGTCCTTCATGAATGGCCAACATAAAGCACCTTACTTGGCCATAGGGTCTCTTTACCTAGGTAATTCCCATGCTCGGTCGCGACCCTCTTTTCTTTTATCATGCTTTTGTTAATTTTACTTGCTTACACATGGTTAGTTTATAAAGTGTTTATGAAATTACCTTAGTCACATAATAGCATAGTAGTTTAATTGTATTCATTATCTGCATGTAGTTTAATATGATAAGTATTGTCATGCATTTTGTTAACACAGTGGCTTACACACTTAAAACCCTAAGCAAGGAATGAAATCATGGTGTTTTGGCTTGCTTTAAAAGTTTACCTAGATAATAAGGATTTTTTTAGAGATTCAAGGGATCATGAAACCTCATTTTTCCATTAAAACATTACCCTAAACCCTGAAGTCAAATTCTAAAATCTCAAAGTCAAAACCCTAACTCAAATCTTAAAACTAAAGGTTAAAACCTAAACACAAGGTCAAACCCAAAACCAAAGTCAAACCTTAAACCCTAAACTTTAAATTTTAAACCAAAGTCAAACTTTAAACCCTAGGTGAAACCAAAACTGAAGTCAAATCCTAAACCAAAGCTAAACATTAAACCTACCCAAACCCTTTATGCAACCTTGAACCTACATGAAACCCTAAACCTAAATCTGTACCCCAAATACCCAAAGTCAAATCCCCAAAACAAAGTTAAACCCTAAAACAAGTTAAAACTCAATCTGTTTACCCCATAGTTACCCTTAAAATTCAAATGAGTCGTATGGTAAATCTTAGGTGAAATTATTTGCTCTTAAATGCTAGTTAGATAATGGCATATTTGGAAAATTTTATTTCATCAAGCATTTTTATATGATTCCTTAATAACATGATTTGACAAAAATAAAAAAAAAGATTTTTTTATTTAAAATATGTACACTTTTTTTCATGAGAATAAAAATGAATTCTTATATGGAAAGATGCACTCTTAAATTCTACCTAGATGTTAGAGAATTATGTGTTCTTCTTACACTTAAGAATTCCATTTCAAAATAAATAATATCAATATTCATCATCATACATAACATCCATCTACATATGCTTATTTATTTATAGATAATTGTTTACATTTATTTCATTTACTTGTTTCTTTTAATTACTATTGTTTATTTGTTAATAGTTGTGTTACTAGTTTTGTTGCATAAAGTGTTTTTTTTTTAAGTAGAATTTTCCAAGCAAAGGGGTTTTATAAAATAAAATCAAAAGAACATTACGAGTGAAAAATTTCTCGATGCTTTGCCTAAATTTTGAAGAGTTACTAACAATTATAATCTGAAAAGAATGTTATTTTAATTTTAAGGGATCATTCTAATGAATTTTAAGCAAAAATGGTTATCTTTAAATTTTTCCTAGATGATGGGGAATTTTAAGTAATTCTTTAACCTCAAGATTTTCATTTTAATCCTAAACAAGATTTTTTTTCCTTTCTTAATAAAATTGATTT